GCAGGAATCCCCCACTCCTGCCCTGATGCAGGAACCCCCCCACTCCTGCACCCTTGCCTTGTCCTCTTTTTGACTCTCAGATCCTAACCTGTCCCTTAACTGCATTCCATCCCGCGTGCCGGCCAGGGCAGAGTGGCATCCACCAGTCCCTTGCTTTCTGAGACTCTTCACACTCACTAACTGGCAACAGCTGCTGTCCACCACCTAAGTCACAACTGGTTTCTTGTTTCTTTGCTCACTTTAAACACTGGAGATTGAACCCGGGGCTTTATGCATGCTAAGTAAATGCCTTATCACTGAGCCACAGCCTCAGTCATCACACGCATGTGTTTCCTCCCCTAATCGCTTCCATTGCTGCTCTGCTATCTGACATTCTCATGTCTGCCCTAGCTCCCCCTTTTTATCGGAGCTGTGTCAATAGCCTCCTAATGATCCGTCTGGATGCTATCATGTTCTCTTCCATTTCATTCCCAACACTACCATTTCAGTCTACTGATACTTAGACCAGGCATCCTGTCAGGGCCCCAGAAAGCTTCAGTGTAAAAAAGTCTCGGTTTATATGTTTGGGGTCTTATAACCCAACAGCCTGCTTTTCCACCCTCCACCCACACATACACACACACGTAAACTTGAAAGCACAGAAAGTGTTCAAGAGGAGACAAAAGACTTATGAGAGCTTATGAAAGAGGAGAAACAAGAACTTCTGGGGGAGGAGTGTTGATGTGAAGAACAGGTAGGGACAACAGAGATTCCTTCTCTAAGGGAAGAAGACTGTTGTGTGCAAATGACCGCAGGACAGAAGTGCACGTGCTTAATAGTTCCTGCCTGAGGGAAGTAGGAGGTGCCAGATAAAGGCTACGGGTTCTAGAGCTGACAGAGTGGGGATAAGAGGCCATGGGGCAGGAAAGGTGTCTTAGTTACTGGAGTCTTCCAGTAACTTCCAGAAGCCAAATATATAACGGATCTTGGGTCAAGGAAGGCAGGAGGGTGGAAGGATTGGAGACCCGCTTCTGAAAGGTTCCTCTGGCTGTTAGTGAAGATCAAAATGGAGGAGGAAAGAGAGAGTGTGACTTGGCAGTGTGTGGGGCTGTGGAAATCCTGGAGTGTTTGGCCACGCCCCAGGACCCAGAGACCTAACATGCAGTGGGTCACGTAAGGCACAGGTAGAGGGCTCAAAACAGGTCTCTGTCTCAAGATTTACATATTACCTAAAGGCCCTAGTCCCTCCTTTTTCCCACTCCCCAATATAAGCAAGCCCTTCCTGGTATTTTGTCGGAGAGCACGCCATTCAGATACAACCATCAACATAATCAATAAAATATCCATCTTATTCACGTGTCTCCTGAGACTCTAGACTCTCTTTGTGTAAGTGGGAAACTTGGGACCTTCCCCGCCCTCCTTTCGCTCCCTGCTGCAGCCGTCTGCGGGACACTCTTCCCTACAACAGCAGTTCCGTCGCAGGCTGCCCTGGGGACTCAGCCGCCAGCACGCTGGGTCCCTGCTCTCCCTGTCCCGCTGGGTCCCTGCTCTCCCTGTCCCGGCCATCCGCGTGACTCTCTCTCTCCTCTGCAACGGTAGTCCCGAGATGGAGTCAGTCAAGGGATGAGCGACGCGGGTGCGCCCTAACCCGCGCTGGCGAGATCAGCTGGGACCGCCACTGTAGGCGGGAGGCCTGAGCCGAGGCTCTAAGGACTGCCTCAGCTGCGACCACTGTGCGCGCCCGCGTCCCACGCGAGTTTTGAACCACAGCAGCATGTGTTCATCATCTGAGCACTCAGTAGGCTGAGGCAGGAGGATCACAGTGAAAGCATTGCCTGAGCTCCATAGTGAGGCCCTGTCACAAAGCTGGAGAGATGACTCAGTTCATAAAGTGCTTGCCTTGTCAGGCCCACAGCACCCATGCCCAGCATCAGGCATGTTGGTATGTCTGAGCACAGGTTCAGAATTGTCAATCTGTCTGTGTGTGTCTGCATGAGAGTGTGTCACATGTGTGTAGGTGACTGTAGAGGCCAGAAGACCGCATCAGATCTGCTGCAGCTGTTGTTACAGGGTGGTTGTGATCTGCTCAGAATGGGTGCTGGGAACTGCATTTAGGTCCTCTGGAAAAGTAGCAGGTGCTTTTAACCATGGAGCCACCTCTCCAGTCTCTGCATGAGTTTTAATAAGGAAGTCACAGCTTTAAACTTAAATGTGTGTGTGTGTGTGTGTGTGTGTGTGTATGCAGTATGTGTGTATATACATCAAAACTTAGAAAACATGACAATTAAAGAATAAAAAGAGCTGTGTGGTGCCATCCCACGCTTTTAATCTCATCACTGGGGAAGCAGAGACAAGTGGTTCTCTGTGAGTTCAGAGCCAGCCTGGTCTACAGAGTGAGTTCCAGGACAGTCAAGGCTACACATAGAAATCCTGTCTCAAAACAAAACAAAACATTAAAAAAAAAAAGTGTTCACTTAGCTTTGTAATTAAAGTTTTGTAAGATAGTTTAAAAATTAGATTGCTAACTCTAAAAACAGAATAGTATAGTGGACAGTAACACAATAAACTGACTGGTGATCTCACGTGCACATGCAGACCAACACACACACACATGCACACACACATGTTCAGAGGTTGGGGAGATGGCTCAGTGGGTAAGAGCACTGCCTGCTCCTCCAGAGGACCCAGGTTTGATTCCCAGCACCCACATGGCAGTTCACAGCCTTCTGCAACAGTTCCAGGGATCTGACCCCCTCTTCTGGCTTCTGAAGAAGATGCATGCACATCATGCATAGTTAGACAAGCAGGCAAAACACTGTACACATAAAATAATAATTTCTAAATTAGTGAGTGCATGCCTGTCAGTCCAGCATTGGGAGAGGAGGTTGTCTCAAGGTCTATACTGAATGTGTGCCTCTCCCCATGCCATCAGGGTATTTCTTTCTCTGAATACTCTTATGAGGTGGGGCTGGAGCCATGGTGTAGAACACTGTGTGTACACGGGAAGAGTTGCAATTGCCAGAGAAAGGCCACATCAGGAGAAGCCACATAAGGTATGGTGACACCTGTCTATAATCTCAGCACTCTGGCGGGGGTGGGGGAAGTCAGGAAGACTGTGAGCTTGAGGCTATTTTGGGTTACATAGTCAATTTGAGGGCATCCTGGGCTAAATATTAAGGTCTTGTGGAAGAGGAGGGAAAAGAAGGGGAGAAGAGGGGGGAGACAGAAGAGGCATCTTGACTAATGCATTTAGTCCTGGAGGGTTTTTTAATTATTTTTTTAAATATTCATTCATTCATTCATTCCTTTGTTTGTTTGTTTGTTTGAGACAGTTTCGAAGACAGTTGAGACAGGTGTAGGCCCAGCTGTCTTAGAATTCACTTTGTAGACCAGGCTAGACAGGTTGGGGCTGATCCAAAGACTTGAAACAAATAAAGATCTGGGAAAGAGCCCAAGCTGGAAAAGTGATGAAGCCAGAGGTCATGGAGAGTAGGAAAGAGACTATCTGAGGTGATGTGCAGGTCTGTCTTGTTGGATGGAGATGCAGAGTTGAGACGCCGGGGCAGTGTGAGTTTGTCTAAGTTTGGGACCCACTCATGAATCCATGCTACCTCCAGCCACTGGGATGGCTAGCCCAGGTCACCAGATCTGTGACATCAGTGATTGGGCATTAGAAGAAAAAGGAACTGACATAGAGAAAGGCCTTGGGGATTTCCAAGAAGTTCAAAATTAGCAGTTTTACAACTGTGGAGCATGGTGGCACCCACCTGTAATTCCAGCTACCTTCGAGTCAAAGGGAGGAAAATCAAACATTCAAGGCCAGCCTGGACAACCTTGAGAGACTGACTCTGTCTCAAAAAAGTTTTTTTTTTTTTTTAAGATTTGAGGAAGCATGTTCAGTGGTAGATCACTAACTAGCCTAGCATGCACAGGACAGTAGATTTAGTCCCCAACATTTCAAAAGGAAAGATAGAAGGGAGAGATACTGAAGTTGCCCTTGGTAATTTCTGAAGGAGTTTAAGCTGTAAGCCTTATGTGCAAGACACAGGAGCAGGAACGGGTTTGCAGCCCAACTTTACAGACAAACAGCCACACATTCGGTAATGATTCGGGACCATGGAGAGACACTAGTGTGGCTGCCTGAATAAGAGGTGGGGAAGAAAGAATATAGCCCTCCATATTTGTCTGTCCCCTATGCACAGAGACGCAAGTCCTCAAAGCTCAGCTACACACGTGCCTTTGTGCCTGACAGACACCACCACTCTGGTTGGGACTCAGCACATTTGCCTTCTAAGTAGATGAATGCACAAATGAACAAATCGAAACATGAAAAACTGTGCACAACACACTGACTATGGGACATCCCTAAGGAGGGCAAGAAATGCAGTTCTGTCAGTAGAGTGCTTTACCTAGCATGTACAGAGCCATGAGTTCTACACCTGGTACCCCATAAGCCAGGTATGGTGATACAAGCATGCCTCTAATCCCAGCACCTATGAGGAGGAGGCAGGAGAATCAAGAGTTCAAGGTCTAGCTGGGCATCTTGGTGCATACCTTCAAGTCTAAGCACTGGGGAGTCAGGGAGGCAGATAGCTGTGAGTTTAAAGAGATTTTGGTCAGGTAGCAAGTTCCAAGCCAAGCAAGACTATGTAGTGAGCCCCAGTCTCACAATCACAGACATAAATACACACACACACACACACACACACTCAAGGTCATCCTTGGATTACATAGAGTTTACAAATCCAGGCTGGGATGCATGAGATCCTGTCTGGGGCAGGGGAAGGCTAAGGAAGGTTGGAAGTCACTGTGGGGCACTGTGAGGTGTTTGTTATAGGAATAACCCACAAAGAAAAGGCTGCCCTGTGCCCACCACCACAACTGCAGATGGGGATGCCACCACTAGAGGAAGTAGTTAGATGTGGGATCTGGTTATTTCCAAACTGGTATAAATCAGAATTGCCCATTCACATGGGCTTAGTTAGACCTTTCCTCTGGCCTTGCAAAACTTCATTTACTATCAGTAAAAACAGTGACCGTTCTCATCTGTTAAGTGTCTACTACATTCAAGGGCGCCGTAGTGTGCACACAATCCTTCCAACAGCCCTGTGAGATGGCTGTTTCAATTTTGCCCATTTTAAATAATATTTACTGATTCTTTGAGACAAGGTCTCATGTAGCCCAGACAGGCCAAGAACTTGCTATGTAGCTGGTGCTGATCTGAAACTCCTCCTGTCTCTATCTCCCAAGTGCTGAGATTAACTGGCACATGCCACATCCCCAGATATTGGCTTGTTTTATCAGTCTTGCTCACAGAAGGCCCATGCCTGGGTTCTTACTCTACTGACAGGAGGCCTTGCTATAATGACATGGCCATTTCTCAGTCCACTCATGTGTCAAATCTGCCTCCACCCAAGGGGACCACGGAGATTGCAGTGCATACTAGAGCTGGGGCTGGATGTCTGTGACTAGTGCTCTTCAGAGAAAGCCCTTGACTCTACCTCCCTAGCCCCAATAGGCCCTATAGGAGCCATTTGTTTTCCTCTGGTGGGCTTAATGGGGAGGGCAGATGAGCTGGAGGAAGGGGAAAGGTGAAGGAGGATGTGGCACTCCCCTACACATACAGCAGAAGGCTTGACTTTCCTGGAAGCATCCTCAGATCCAGATAAAGAATGGACCATGACAGAACAGTGGATCTGGCATCCAGCTAATGGGACTCCTATCAGCTATGTGGCCATGGCCCAATCTGTATAGGATGTGCTTCTGTGGGCAGCAGCATGTTCTGAGAGGCTATCAGTGCCGAGGCTAAGGGCTTGAACCTGCATCTGGTCACCTGCAGGGATTTCTAGTATGAAATCCTGAACTATCTTCAAGACTTAGAGCCTCGGTATAGGAAACCGACCTCCCCCTTCTGTGACTTGTCACCTTTGCTGCTGCCAGGAAGGATATAGTGTGGAACCCTAGATAAAAACCTGACCCCTTCATCCCCAGGACACAGGAATGTTCTAGAAGATGGACTGGCTTGGAGATCAAAAGTTGCTGCAGGTGCAGAGAAGAAGGCAGGAAGTGTGGTTGGTGAGAACACAGTCTATCATTCAAGGCAGCCAGGCTGGATTCCAACCCACTTACTACCTTCTTGCCTGCACTCAGGTATTTTTGTCTGCACCATGAGAATATTAATGGCACCCAGACCTCACAGTACAGTCATGGCTGAATGAGATAAGACATCTAAACGATTCGGCACTGTGCCCGACACTGAGTAAGCACCCATGAATTTCAGTAACATTATCCTTCAATTTCCCCATCCCTGGTCCTGATGCTGACACTTCCCTTGGACATTCATTTCCATAGCAACATCCCGCCCTCGTCATCACTCCTTTGAAGTCTGAACCTCCAACACTGCCCTCAGCCTGCTATGTTAGTGGGACCTGCCCTTCTCGAAGTCCCCACCTGTGGTCTCTGCTTCTCAGCCAAGGTCACCACTCCTTCCTTGTCCAGCCCAACTTGCCTGCGTGTCACCTCAGCCACTCTTGTCCACATCTGCAGAGCCACCTACTGCTGGAACAAGCTGTTTCCCACCCACAGTCTGTAGCCTCAGCAGAGCTATTATCCCTCTGTCTCTAGTCACCTCCCATCCCCTGTGCCATTGATATCTCTCTCCCTCTCTCTCTCTCTCTCTCTCTCTCTCTCTCTCTCTCTCTCTCTCTCTCTCTTTCTCTCTCTCTCTCTCTCTCTCAGCAAATAGAGACACTACCATCCACTCCCTGGGAGCTCCCTTTCTTCTGAGTATTTCTCCCTTAAGACATCTCCTCTCCAGGGTCCCCACACCTCCTTCCCTTTGTCTATGTCTCTCCATCTGGACACCCAGGATCTAGGAATGGCCAACCCAGCAGACAAGCCCACTCTCCTTGAACCTAACTTCTCCAGGGCCTTCAGCCACTCCCTTCCTCATCAGATTCTATCTTTCATTCCCTCCCTTCTTTCCAGCTTCATTCCCACATTCTGGAATCTCCCTTTTAAGACCCTTGTCTGTCCACTTCGCTCACTCAGTAAGTGCTTCTTGTCATTGTTCTTTGGTTGGTTGGGTTGGGTCTGAGTTTTCGAGACACAGTCTTGTTCTGTAGCAGGGGCTAGTATAGAACTCATTATGTATCCATGACTGACCTTGAATGCATGCGGCCTTCTGGCCTTGACATCCGATGTGCTAGGATCGAAGGCATGCGGGCCACACTCTGCTTCACTCTGTTAATGTGGACGGTCCCAGAGCTAGCTTTGAGAATAGCTCCAGTACTTCTGAGTTGGAGCCTGAGCATGTGACACACACACACACACACACACACCCCACACATCACCCCCTTCCTTTGTGCTCTTCCCTCCCAGTCCATCCAGAGCTCAGACATCCCCATCCCTTCCTGTAGATGGGCTCTCTCTCCTGTGCCAGCCCATTTCCCACAATGCAGTTGAGAGTTGGCTTTACAGTATGAATTGACCACATCCTGTCTCAGCCTAAAACTCCCCAGGGGCTCATCAGAAGCTTAAGTTTCAAGAGTGAATCCCTGACTTCCAACAGCCCCCAGCACACTCTCCTCCTCTCCTGTAACGCCAAACAGCAGCCTCTTACTTTAGCCATTCCTTCTCTGTCTAGCACTGTGCCTGCTTCCTAAGACAGGTTCAGTCACTGATGCCAGGAGGTACCCTGTACCAGTCAGCACTGATGCCCGGATGTAGCCTGTACCACTCAGTTTCCTCAAAACAAGCAACTGGCCATTCAAGATGAATGAATAAGACAGAGAAGAATCAAATGAATGGTAGGTCAGGGGAGCCAAATCTTGAGGGGTTCCCAAAAGCCACCTCTGCCCTTGTAGATGAGCCTGGTCCAAGACTCAAACCTCCAGAACTTTTTTTTTTGAGACAGCTTTTCTCTGTGTACTCCCGGTTGCCCTGGAACTCTGTAGACTAAGCTGGCCTTGAACTCAGAGATCTGCCTGTCTCTGCTTTCCAAGTACTGGAATTGCCCAACTACATATAATCCCATTTTAAAATTAACACCTGAAATAAGTTCCTCTGTGGAGATAGGAAAATTGGTGTCACCCAGGCTTGGGAGGGACCAAGGACATGAGTAACATCTAAAACACACAGGTTTGTTTTTGTTTTTGTTTTTTTTTTTTTTTGAAGATGAGGAAAGTTCTCTAAAACCACCTGGGATTAAGATATAACTCATTAAATGCACTGAAAACCACAGAATGACCATTCAGCCACAGAGGACAGGATCCTGTCATTTACAACAGATTGGATGGAACCATAAGCAAGGCACAGAAGGTCCACTTGATCCCATTCAGTCTAAAGCCAGATGTGGTGGCTCCTGCCCTCAGGAGGCTGATCCAGGAGGATGACCACACCTTTGACACCTAAACTACAGGGTTTCAAGACAAATAGGGGCAGAGGTGTGTGCATATAATCCCAGCTAGGAGAAACCTTGGTGTTGGGTGTATGTTGTTCCTTAAGTGCCATAGTGCCATCTGTGTGTGTGTGTGTGTGTGTGTGTGTGTATCTGTGTGTGTGACATGTGTGCGTATGTAAGTATCTGTGTGTGTACATGTGTGAATGTGAACGTGTGTGCATGTGTTTGTGTGTGTGTGTGTGTGTGTGTGTGTGTATGTGTGTGTGTGCATGTACCAGGGATTGAACACAGGGGTCTTGGGCAAACTAATCAAGTGTTTGGCCACTGAAGTACCTCCCCAGCCATCTTGACTTTTGAGACAAAGTCTCTCCCTGGCTTGGAGCTCACCAAGTAGGTGAGACTGGCTGCAAGCCCCAGGGACCCACCTCTTTCCCCTTCCCCAGCACCAGGACTACAGATGTGTAATGTACAGCTTTTTTAATGTAAATTGTGGGATTTGAACTCAGGTCCTTATCTTGCAAAGAAAACATTCTACACACCAAACTTTCTCCCCAGCCCAATACACTACACATTTTTAAAGCCCAGGAGAAAGTTTCCACCATAAGGAAATGATCAGTGGTTGAGGAGATGTCTATGTTTATCTCAATCTAAATGGTACAAAGTGTATAATGTACTGAAACAGTGCATGGCATCCCATCGATGTGTGCGATTCTTATATATTGTTCTGTTGTATTTTGCTTGTATGTTAAGATAGGATCTCACCATATAACTCTGGCTGGGCTAGAACTCACTATATAGACCAGGCTGGCCTTTAACTCACAGCGATCCTCCTGCCTCCACTTCCTGAGTGCTGGGATTAGAGGTGCACACAAGCACACCTGGCTAGTTTTTGCTTTTCACCTGGGAGGCTGAGGCAGGCACATCTCTGAGTTCAAGGACAATCTGGTTTACACAGCAAGTTCCAGGCTATCCAGGGTTACATATGAGATAGAAGAAGGGGACGGAGACCCATTAAACCATGCACTTTAGACGGATGAGTTATAGGATATTTGAATTACATTAATAAAGCTATTAAAACTCCCATCAGAAGATAAAGGGTGTGTTAGGACACTCTTGTCGTTATAGCACTTGGGAGGCTGAAGTAGGAGAATTAATATGAGTCTGAGGCCAGCCTGGGCTATATTGCAAGACAGTGTCTCAAAAATTAAATAAATAAATAAATAAATAAATCCCACAATGGCTTCTCATCCCCCAGAAGGGAAACTCCCTGCAGCACTTAGTGTGACCGCAGAACACACTTAGGTGGGGCTGGGTTCTTAAGCACTTTGTTAGGCCCCATCTCAGCCTCTCTCCACTCTCTAATGCAGGCATTGAGCTTCTGCCCGCTTTGCAGATGGACAATCTGGTGGGAGGCTAAGCAACTTGCTCCAGATGACTTAATTCCCTTGTGTTTGTGTCTAGCCTGGGCACTCCCGGCAGTATGTCGTAAGGACCTGTTTAGAAGCTTCTCTGCCTGGAATGCAGCCCCAAAGTCTCAGCACTAGAGTTGGGTTTAGAGTCGTATCCCTTACTCCTGGCCCTTCAGACCCTACTCATGTACAGAAAAAGAGAAAGAGCCGTAGATAGGTCCAATGGTCTTTGACCCAGCTTCTTTTGAACAAGGACAAAGTATTCTGTCCCCAATTCCCAGGAGATAATTCTAGAATCTGTTTTCTCCTGAGCTATAATATGATTTCACCTCTGTCTCTCTGCCTGGGACCTTTCTCTGTAACCAACAACTCTGCTGGCCTAGCCCAGAGCCATTAGCTACACCCTGGAGCCTGGCGAGGTCCCCAAGTGCAGTAGGCAGCACAGGAAGTTTAGATGGACACTACCCAGGACCCTGCCTAATTTTGTCTCTCAAGCCTCTTATACCCAGGAAGCTGCTACTGTCCCCAGCACCCTTTCAAGTGGCTCTGGATCAAATGGAAACCTAATGACGTGGACAGAGATGTTGGAAGTATAGAAGGAGTGACTACAACTCCTAGTGCCTGGATAATCAGTGACTCAGCGGTAGTGTCACTCTAAAGGAGAAAGATAGTGTCACCCAACCCAGGTCTCTCTTCTAACTGGCCTGTTTTCTCCCCCTGGCCCTAACCTCATTCTGAAAGTCCCTGTCCTATCCAACCCTGTCTGTCAACACACATTCTCTGTAAGATCGTCTGTAAGCAGCCCTACCCAATGTCTTGGCTTGAGGACAATCCAAGAAAAGCTATTCAGAGTCCCTCAGAAGTGAAGATTAGCACACATGCACCTCCTTGGCCAGGCTGGCCATGTCCTCTGACTGGTACCCAGACCTCCAACAAAAGCCAGATACTGAAATCTGGAAAATCAGGAGATTCACTATGCTCTAAGAACTTCATTGTGTCCCAACCCCCAGCCTGACAACTCCCTCTCTTTCCCTCCCCATGTGCCCCAAGGGAAACCAGGCCCCAGGGCTCCTGGGAAAGAAAGGAGGCCGCTGTGGTTCTTGGAAACAGAGGCTGGTAGAATGCCCTGGTGGCCTAGGAGGCCTGGCTCTCCTTGGGGCATTTGGAACCCTTGGTGCTCTTCTGGTAGTGTTCTCTGTTGATACAGAACTACAGTTAAACAATCCCCCACCTCATCCATACAGTTCAAACAAACAAACAAACAAACAAAAAAGCAATCAAGACAGCCCCTTCCATACACATGCACAAACACCAAGTTGGCTGTCACTCTTTTTTGCAGAATTTCACTCCAGATGTACCCCTGAATCCTTCTGCCAACAGGGGCAGCAAGAAGTGGACCAGTGATACCCAGAGGCAGACATGAAGAAAGAGCAAACAGAATTGAGCCTTAGGCCCCCTCTAGAAGGGAAGTCAGGAGATGAGACAGGATTCCTGCCAAGGCTACAACACCCAATGCTTCTCGGCACTTTAAGCCCCTTCCCTGAGGACGTGCCTGCCGCACTAAGGTGTCCAAACCCTTTCCCTGAACAAAGCACAGGGCTTACCATGATAGAAAAGATGAGGGGGATGAGGTTGAGAGGCCAGACGGGACAGAAGCAAGAGGCAATGGCAAGGACCAGGTAATCTTTGGGGGCTTCTTGGTCCTGGGCGTAGGAGGTGGTGATGACGGAGGATGCTCGCCGAGAGCTGGCCCGGGAAGGGGAGCCAGAAAGTGATGGCTGGCGGTGCCCCTCAGAGATAACCTTGAAGGGCAGGCTGTGGCCATTCTGCTCCAGGTCCAGAGCCCCTGACAGAGACTTAGACAGATTTAGGGCTTGGTCATCCTTGTTCTCCACTTTGGTGAGAAGCTTCTCCATCTCAGGCAGATCCAAGGGTGAGGTGGAGCCTGGGTCTTGAAGTTGAGGCTGCACTGGGTTGGCCATGTTGACTTGGACCTTGGGTTTCTTCAAGTCCAAGTAGGGATAGCCTGCTGCAGAGGGTCCTCAGCACACCATTCCCCAGTCCAGATTTCAAATCTCCAGGACAAGGGTAGATGTATTTTGCAGGGTCTAGGGGTTAGCTGAGTGCTAGAAGATTCAGAAGAGCTTCTCAAGGATCTAAGCATCCACAGCTAGAGCCTGCTGCTGCTGCTGCTGCTGCTGCTGCTGCTGCTGCTGCTGCTGCTGCCACTGCCGCCGCCACCACCGTGGAGCTCCCAGAAAGCTGGAGGCTTCAGCTCCGTTCAAGTTGAGGCCAACTTTGCTGGAGCTGCTGACTACACAGATGGGCGGGGAAGCAAGAGAAAGCAGGGAGAGCAGAGAGAAGATTGCTCCTTCCCTCTGCTCTCCAATGAATGAGGGTGAGGAAGCAGGGAAGCTCAGTGTGTGTGTGTGTGTGTGTGTGTGTGTGTGTGTGTGTGTGTGTGCCACATAGCCTCCTTCCCTCTCCACCCTCTTTGGAAATATCTCTCTTTTTCAATTCCCTTCTCCCCAGAGAATCATCTCAGCAGCATCTTGCCTCTGCCCCAGCCCAGCCTAGCCCAGCCTATAGGGATCTGGGCCAGCCTCTGGTTTCCTTTGCAGCCTCAGACCTGCTCTTCTGGGCCAAGGACTTAGATAGGGAAAAAGACAACGATCACAAAAAAGCCTTCTGTTCCTCCTCAGGCTTGTGCTTTCTATCATCTGATGGCAAATGCTGAGCCCTGGTCCCTTCAGATCCCACAGAGCCCTTAACCCTCAACACTTAACTGGGGGAAGAGACCTGAGGGCATTATGGTTCCTGGGACATAGCAGAGCCCTCTGCCTGGGTTTCTAATCAGCTCACCAAGGCTGAAAAGGGGATCTGTGGGGTAATTGCCTCTCCGTCTCTCTCCTGCCAGGCCGTATGGTGCTAAGCTGTAGGCACAGACCCTCTTGGGACTGCTCCTACAGATGCCATCTCTGCAGTGCCAGAGGCTCTGCCTGTCCTCCTTCTGGTTCTTATCCCTCCTCTGTTTCTGTCCCCTCCAGTCTCTTCATCTTGTTCTCTTTCCCTTACCTGTCCCCTTGCTTTGTTTTACCAGAGTGACCTAAAGCCACCAAGGGGACACAGAGGAGTATAACTTGGACTGGGCATCATGGAACCGCTTAAAATCCCAGAGTCACGCAGGATGTGGGAAACCAGAGCTGGAAGGGTCCCAGAGACCATGAAGTTCAAATTGGATGCTTTTGTAAATAAGAAACAGGCCCAGATTGGAAAGAAACATTAATCCCAGAATGTCATCACAAATAGCAATTCCTGGCCTATGTCCTGGGGTTGGTGGGGAGCAAAGCCAGCCATGTTAGTTGTACGTGTGTGGTGGTGGTGGTGGGGGTTGATTTCAAGTTTATTTCAGAAATGCTGCTCCTATCAAAGGTAAAAGGGGAGTTTGACTTCACTGTGAGCTGGCAGAAGGGAGGGAGGGGGGAAAAAGGGAAGGAGAGAGGGAGACAGAAAGGGAGAGTCGGGGGGAGAAAACAAAAGGGAGGGAGGGCAGGCAGTCCTGAGGAGGACTCCCATGCAGGACTGCCTGAAGGGGAACTGAAAGCACACTTGGGAACAAGTAAGTTTAGAAAACATTTGAGAATTTAAGATGGCTTGGTGGGTAAAGTGCCTGCCAAGCAATTATGAGGCGTGGTGCTGAGACTCACAACACCCACAGAAATGCCAGTAGGATGGCAGCCCACCTGTACCCCCAGCCCTCAGGAGGCAGAAACAGAGGATTCCCAGCTGAAGAGACTCTGACTTATGATAGACAGTGAGGAGTAACTGAAGAAGGCACCCACAGTCAACCCCTGGCCTTCACAACATGAGCACAGGCATGTATGTGCACCAACACACATGAGCACTCCCACAATACTCACGCTCCCCCACCCACAGGCTTACACACAAAAAAGCATGTTTACTCAGCAAGGAAAACCAGTGTTATTTGCAAAAGGCAGCCAGCCCTCTAGGGAGATACTTTCTCCATCTCAGACTTCAGAGTGGCTCTTATCTCAAGCCATGAGGAGGGCTAGGGAAGTAAACTCATGGCTGTCCTTGACTGGGGACACTTAGCCTAGAAAATATGCTAATGCCTTTCAAATAGAAAAAAGCCTCCCAAGGCAAGGAAATAAAGTCCTGGACCTTGCTGGTGCACAGATGTCCCTTAAATGAAGAACTCCAGGCCCAGCTCAGCCTGAGATCTAGCCAATCATGGCTTTGAGCACCTGAAATGTGTCTAGTCCAAATGAAAATATGTTGGCAAAAATATTTAAAATAAATATCAGAGAGAATCAGATATAAAGAAGCCCTTTTTACTTAATAAGAGATACAAGAGAGAAAGAAAGAGAGAGAGAGAATGAGAGAGAGAGAGAGAGAGAGAATGAGAGAGAGAGAGAGAGAGAGAGAG